GCCCCCCCCCCCCCCCCCCCCCCGCCCCTCTGCCCTGGGCGCGCCCCTGCTCCCCGCGCATCTCGGGCCCCTCCTGGGTCCCTGGGCGTCTAGCGGGTGCGGCCCGGGGCGGCATTTGCAGAAGGTCACGAGGGCGCTGCTGCCCCGCCCCCCCGGGGCGCCAGGTCCCGACTCCATCCGCGCGCCCCGGCTTCTCCCCGCGTCCCGGGCTCCCCCGTGCAGGCCGCGCACCCCCCGCACCCCCCGCCCTTCTGTTCACGCCCTCGAGCCGGGCACACGCCTGGGAACCGGTCGCCCCCTCTCCCGGGGCAGAGGCCGCTTCCTGCAGGCGCAGGGGCCGCTCCGGCGTCCGCCTCGTCCGCAGGCGGGTGCTCAGGGCCCGCGCTGGGCGGCCTCTGGTGACCCAGCGGCCGGGGCCTCAGTCCCCTGTCACCTGCGGCCCGGACTTGGGTAAGAGCACGTGGGGCAGTTGTGCGACACGGCACCGCCGTTCGCTCCTGCGGCAGCCCAGGCGTGGGGGGGGCGGGGCGGTCAGGGGCCCGGGTGCAGGGGTCACGGCCAGGAGGGCCCTGGCAGGACGGGGCGGTCTGTGTGGCCCGAAGGAGAAGGCTGGGGGCTTGCACGCGCCCGGGACCGGGACCGACTCCCGAGCCGGAGGGGGGTCAGGACCGGCCCCAGCCGGGCGCCGAGCTGCAGGAGCTCCTGGTTCATATTGAATTGGGTCACTCCTCCGCGGGGGGCCGCCGCGGGTGGGGGCGCAGGGAGGGCCTCGGCCAAGGCGGTGCCATTTTCCAGTTGGGAATTTTTCATCTTACCTATTTATGATACGTAAATCTTTATAGCAGATCTATTTTTTAAAACATGGAGAAGTTGCCTTCGTGGAAACTTAGCAGAGCCAGAGTGTACACGTTCCTAAACCATTAAACCGATTTCTGCAAAGAGCCCGTGGTGCCGAGGCTGGTTCTCTGACCAGACCCCAGTTTGGTGACCGCCGGGGGCGCCAGGCCGCGGGGTGGGGTGACTACCCCTGCGCTTCGCAGAGAAGCCAAGAGACTCCGTGCTCGGGAGGTCGTTGCCCGAGCCCTGCAGCCGTAGCAAAGGACACTTCTGTCCCCCGTCAGGGGCGCCCCTGCCAGGGCCAGACGTCCTTGCCCACTGCTCCATTCCCAGGGCAGAGAAGGGTGCTGGGCACACAGTAGGTGCCCCAAACACTGCCAAGTGCCTGAAGGGGGCGCCTGGCACCCGGGAGTCCCTGAATCCACAAGCCACCAAGACCCTCTGCGATCTGTCCCCGGTCACAGAAGGGACCTATGCTGACGTGGGGGGGGCCGGAGGAGGCGAGCACGGTGGCTGTGCCCATTCTGCCAGCCGTGCCCTGAGACACACCGACACCAAGGCTCATTCAAATCCCAGGTCCGCTCTCATTGGCATGACCTTGGGCGAGCCATCAGGCTCGGCCTCCTCAGGTGTGGGACACTAATCCCGGTCCTGCCTGCGCCCTGGGGAAGCCGCCCCGAGACCCCGGCCCGGCCGGGAGGGGCTCTGTAACCGCGGGACCCAAGCGGGGGCTCCAGCTGCTGACTCCGCCTCCGACGTTAGAAGCCTGTGACTTCCACTGACTGATGAAGGAAGGCCCGGAGCCCCGGGGCCCACACCCAGGCTCCTCTGTCACCTTTTCCTTTGACCTTCCTGCTGCCCTTGGACGCAGGGCGGCCCCAAGCCTGCCTGGGCCCCTTGGAAGGCAGGCCCCTAACCGGGTGGTCTGAGCCGGGCGCCACAGGGCCCCCAGGGCCGTGATGAGGGCGTCTCTCCCGCCCGCACCAAGGCACTGCAGAGCCTGGGGCGACGTCATGGGCTTTGAAACAGGGCAGGCAAGGCCAGGGGCCTGGAGGGACTGACTCCGAGCCCCCGACTCGGGCCAGGCTGGGGAGGGGGCCCGGGTCCCAGAGCGGAGTCCGGCCCTGCCCCTCCCCTGGGGGTCCCAACACCCGACCCCTCGCCGCTCCCTGCACACACTCACCCAGGGGCTCAGCCGAGGAGGGACCGCGCCACCCTTCCTTCGGGGAAGCCAGGACGCGGGGTGCCCTCACCCCAGTACATCCCGGGTCCCCATCCCGCCACCTTCCCCGCACGGCCGCCCCCGCCTCTGCCTGACCGGGCCCCTGCCTCCCGTCTCCACCCCCAGCTCCACACACCTTCCCGAAGCGGGTCTCGCACTGACCGGGTCGCCCCCTTGCCCGGCTCGCTCGGCTCCCTGCTGCCCGCAGCCGCCCCCCAGGGGCCTGCCAGGACCGCCCGCGGCCACACGGGGCCCTGCCCTTTCCTGGCAGCCAGACCCCTGACCCACCCGAAGACCCGCGCTCCCCGGATGGTCCCAGCCGGGCCGGACCCAGAGGCCGCCGGCTGATCCTGCCGCTCACTCCCCTCCCGGAGCCCTGCACACACACAGCTCCGAGACTGCCGTCCCCACCTCGTCTCTGCTGTCGCCGCCCCCAGCCCCCCGGAAAGAAGGGACGCACCCAGATGACAGGCTTGGCTCCAGCTCGCGCTGCCTGGACACCCCCGGGCGCCGCCGCCTCGGCACCCCGCCCGCCGTGCGCCCGGGCTCTGCCCCCCGCACCCTGGCGCGCCCAGCCCGCTTCCCGGGGAACAGGCCGCAGACGCCGAGGCCCTTTCGTATGAAAGTCTTTAATGAAAGCGGCAGGAGGCAGGAGTGACGAAGGCCAGGAGAACCCTGGCGACGGCGCCGAGCCGCCACGTGCTCTCGCTTTCAAGAGCGGGGCGCGGGAGGTCTTTTCCGGAAACCTGCGTCTTGCCAACGGTCACAAATGACCTCTGTCCCCGGCACAGGCCCGCGGCGGCCAGCGAGCAGCCCGCTGCACTCGCTCAGGGTGAGAGTAAGCGGCTTCCTGCGACAGCCAACCGCGCCCCACCTGGCGGGGCCGGGGGTCGGAGAAGGTGCGAGAGGGAGCCCAGGACTCGGTCCAGGACGAGGGGGGGCTAGTAGCCCAGCAGCCTCCGGGCGTCCTCGCTCTGGGCCTGC